AAAACATTCGAGTATTTAGTAAGAAGCTTTAAAAGTTACTAGCATGCAAAAAGAACACGGAAACAACATAAATTACTACAGTATGCATTACTTACAAATCAATCTCGTTATTCAAGGTTTGGCTAGCAAGCGACCATTAAACCTCTGCAAAGAGTAAGGGCTATAATTTTCGTTGGAAACAAAATTTAAATACACGCTGCTTGACGGTCACCTAGTTCAGTTTCTAAGTATGCATGTACGTGTATTCAAGATAACATACTAGGAAGGCTACCCAAAGAAAACATACAAGTTTAGGCTTGCCGTGCTAATGTTAGATCAAAATTATACTTTTGTACTTTAAAAAGACAAATGTGTAGAGCGATCTTTAAAATGACACGTACTTAAAACGTTATTTATAACAACTTGGTTAGAGAGAAAAAACAAAACAGAACACTTACAAAAAAAAAACAATCAAAAGTAAGAAAATCAAAAAGTACCTATTATGAAACAGGTAATATCTCTCTTGTTCGCCTAATTTCAGCACTCTGCTCTCTGGGTACACGAGCATAAAATAAGAGGCTGAGAAGATTAATGACGCAAGAACAAAAGAAAGGATATAAACAAACAAACAAACGCTAAAAAGGAAGAGAAGATTAACTTGAAACATTCCCTATTTAACTGACGCGCACGTAGCGTTGATCTCATTAATCGCAGTGTTTTTGTTCAGCTCTCACCATGGTTCAGTGTTTCGCTGTTTTACTGATTCTCTGTTTTTCTGGGGGTTCACTGGGAACAACTACCTCACCTCAGCAACAAAACACCGCAAAGTTAAAAGATTTATGCGAGGTAAGAAGAGAGAACTATTTTACCTTTCAAAAGTAAGTTCACAATAACGTTGCACGGAAACCGCCTGCCACTGGACTCATTGCTACCATTCAAATACATGTACAGGCTTTTGCACAGTTATTTGAGTGCTATCTTTAACTTGCACAAGTTAATATCCTATCACATAAACCGCAAAGATACACACATCATAACACATACAGTTAACACATTTCAATTGTCGACCTTTTTGTCCCTGCTTCACAGACTAGGAATTCAAACGACAGTTTTTCGATAGCACACTTTCTTCATCACCGGCTATTGTGCTCTTACAAAAGAATTGAAGCGACGGGTGGGTGACTATTAGCTTTTAGGGTAAAGAGGAATGAATTAGTTCATCGTCACGAATGTTTGATCGAAACTTGCAGAAAACTGACCTTCAGTCGTGGGGAAATATTCTGTAATCCTTTCAGAAATCGCTGTTTTCAAGCACATGCCACAAGTGTTTTTTTTTTTTTTCAATTTCATCAAGGTGTAAAAACAAGGTATAGTGCGTTTTCACTCACGTGGCAACCATCTAAGCATATTTATTGGAACAAAAGAAAGCATTTACATAAGAACAAAATCCAACTTCCACATAATTATTGTGGAGCACCAACATGGCCGCCGTCCCGCGATTTAGAAAACTAATATAGTTCCCGTGACGTCACATGTGAAAACACTCTCTTTAGAAAAACAAATAGACCAAAAAGGCCCAGCTCGCACCCCCCTCCCCCGACGTCTTTTAATCTAGGACATCTATATTTTCAGAAATCTATACTGTGTCATGGTTTTCCCGGCACACCAGGATCAAACGGCATGCCGGGAATGCCCGGTGTTTCGGGGCCGCAAGGACCTCAGGGAAGGGAAGGTGCAAAAGGACAAAACGGTGATAAAGGATCACAAGGAACGCCGGGTCCACGAGGAGACAGAGGGCGCGAAGGGCCTCTCGGGAAGAGTGGACCGCCAGGAATCAAGGGAATAAAAGGTGAACAGGGACTTGTGGGAATGAAAGGAGAGCCAGGCATTGTGGGAAATCAAGGAAGAAAAGGAGACAAAGGAGAGAAAGGAGAAAGCGTCAAAGCAAGTCAAGCAAGTGTAGTACCACAAACCAACTGGAAACAATGTGTGTGGAAATCAGCTAGCAATACTGATAACGGAAAGATTAAGGTAAACAAGGGACGGGCTGAATGAGAACAACAACTCGGGTTTTTCCAAAGACTTTTTAACAAAAATTTACAGCTATAGGAAAATGAATTTTCCTACCACTCTCAACTTTTAAATCCGCTCCCTGCCAAAGCCGTATTAAAAATATAATAATAGAAAGCAGTTCATTCCTTTTGGTTTTATTTCAGGATTGCAGCTTCAACAAATTGAAGTCCGATACAGCTCTTAAAGTCTCATACCAGGGAAATGTGAGAATGCATAGTGATCAGAAGTGTATTCGATTGTACTTCAAATTCAATGGNACCACAAACCAACTGGAAACAATGTGTGTGGAAATCAGCTAGCAATACTGATAACGGAAAGATTAAGGTAAACAAGGGACGGGCTGAATGAGAACAACAACTCGGGTTTTTCCAAAGACTTTTTAACAAAAATTTACAGCTATAGGAAAATGAATTTTCCTACCACTCTCAACTTTTAAATCCGCTCCCTGCCAAAGCCGTATTAAAAATATAATAATAGAAAGCAGTTCATTCCTTTTGGTTTTATTTCAGGATTGCAGCTTCAACAAATTGAAGTCCGATACAGCTCTTAAAGTCTCATACCAGGGAAATGTGAGAATGCATAGTGATCAGAAGTGTATTCGATTGTACTTCAAATTCAATGGAAATGAATGCAGTGGACCAATGACGATCGAGGCTGGTGTGTACAGTGCCTGGGGTGGGAGTACCCCAAACCTTCATCACCATCGGTCATTTGAGGGCTACTGCGAAAACATTCCCAAAGGGACAGTTCGGGTGGAATTATGGGTAGGCCAGTGTGGCAGCTGGAACTTGGGCGATTCTTACACTGGTTGGATTTTCGTGTCCCGTATAATGATTGAAGAAGTATCCAGGCCGCAGTCCTAAAAATTACCAGTGAATAAGGAGACTATTTTGCTTATATAAGAGAAACTACCTCTTTCAGTAGCAAATACAAAATAGCAAACTTAATGAGTCTAGAACAGTGAGATAAAATTTAAAAGAAAGATCGTTCATTCGCTATGCGTTGAGAAATAACTTTGAGATAGTATATATCGTCCTTTATCGTTTTATTCAGTTATGATTTCATTCCAAAAAATATAGTTTGCGGGTATAGTAGAAAAAAGAAAACTACGAACAAAATTCGTTCTTAAAAATATATCTAATAAAAAAATAGATATGTAGGTTCAATCAAGCGTCCATAAGAAAACAATTTTCATTATAATGAAATTCACAGTCAAAGAGCAAGTTTGGTCTCAGCTTTTCAAAAGTTGTCAACGCTATATCCATCAAATATTCTTATCCAATGAATAGCGCAAGCTTTTTAAATATTTAATCACTGAATATTGATTTATACAGCAGATCCGGCTTTCCATCCGTTAGACAACTGGGGCTTGGTGGCGGCTTTATTTGTAACAGGAAGGAGCGAGGCTCAGAGTTAGCTCCCTAGCTGGGGAATGTTTTTTCTTAGTATGAATGCCTCTGGTCAACAACATTATAAAGGTTATGTTATTACTAGCTTGTGCTTTTTCTATAAGAGTAATCAAAAGCGCATTACAATTGAGCACTTTCTCATTTTATAACCATGAACAAAACTTCTAAGTTTTTTATGTGCATTTGAAGCCTAGCCTGTGATCATGCCTTCCTTATGTACGTACATAAAGGCTATTCGACGCCAGTAACACGTAACCTAAACTCAATGCGCGAGGCGATATATTAAAAGAAAATAAAATCATCTAACCACTAACTAAGATAATTAGATTTCAGTCTTCAACGCAGTAAAATTGAGAAAACGTTACTAATTATAAACAGCCATGGTTCAATGTAATTCCTGTCGCAATGTAAGTATTCAGCATTTGCATTCTTATGCTATTTACAGATAAAAACCACTGAAGGTTACTTTTTTCTCAACCCATAAAATCTTACTCAGCACCAGAATAATTGTGGGGAAAAGTGGGCAATGGATGACGTGCTACTACAAAAGACAGTTCGCCACTTTTCTCGGGAAATTATGAGGATCTAAAATGCATGTGATTGGCCAAGCCAAATCAGTTGAAGAGGGAAGATCTCGTGAAGAGAATTACATGTGACAGAAAATGAACTGTTTGTCTTTCTTGAAGGATTTAAAGCGATCTCGGGTTATTAGATTGACTTCAATTTACATTAATGCATACATTACATTATGGAAGCGGTTGATATAAATTAACCAATTCATCAAGTAAAAGACTGGCTTAGATAAATGCTGGTGCAAAATAACTATGAGGGAAAACATACCTTAGTAACCATGGATAAACCAATAAGGTACCAAACCATGCATACACAGGCAATGAAGATTTCTTTACGATAACCACGCCTTAACTGCTTAGGAAACAGGTCCACAATTGCGGTCACGAAACCCTCAATGCCTACGAACTTGAATCAGAAAATATAAAAATAGTTTACTGAAGCAAGTATGAGATGCGTCTGACTGTTACCGAGCTTACAGCAAAAGCGGTTCTTTGACGTTTTGGTTGGGGAATGCATAGGTGTACGTGTAAGGCGATCCAACTATATAAGACAGTTTTTTGTAGACACGTTATTCTTAATTGACAAAACCAGAAAACAAAACTTAAATTTCCCAACAAATTAATTTCTTTGCCCCATTAAAAATAACCGTTTGAGCCGCTACATGGCTGACGGAGGCGCCAAATCGCTGAAAGCCAACGTCTTTTTTGTCGCCTAAACGCGAAGGCCATAAAAAAGGAACGAATGAAAAAAAAACCAGTAATAATAGTAAACTTATATTGGCTCTTAAATAAATTCTCAATATTGTAAATAAAAGCAAACAAAGAAGCAAAAATTATTTAATGATATACAAAATAATCAAAGACTTCATTAACAATCACTATTAAAGCCTTGCTTCGGCTTCAATGGACTATTTTTTAATTGATTAATGGTATTGAGTGAGCCTCGCACCCAATAATCTTTCCACACAAAAAAAATATTATACTACATGGTTTGGAAATGTTCCATACCTCGCTGTCAAGCCCTAACAGGAAGACCATAAAGAAGAATAGAACAGACCAGAGAGGAGCCAACGGCATCTGAGCAACTGCTTCTGGATAGGCGACAAAAGCAAGGCCTGGCCCTAGAACATACAAGAAATAAATATTGAATATAGATCCTTTGCACGATGACGTCATTTACTACTACGACAATAATCCTTCAGGGTTTTGCTTTCTTGTACAAATTAGGGTTTCAGTTATTCAAACCTCGCCAGGATTACTAAGTGGAAATAAGAAAGAAAAAATGAAGGGGACTCTGGTGAAAGCAGTAAAATGACTAACCTGAGAACAGGCTCTATTTTCGTTTCGCTTTGTAAATAACATTCCGACGGGCAAGGCGAAGCGAAAAGAGAGTCTGATATAAACCTTCTACGAAACGTCTCCCGCCCACTTATTTGATTGATCAGCATTTGCTGAATCAGCCAACCAAAATTACTTACGTACGCTGCATGCTCTTTTGAGTATGCAAAGTACTTTTCGTACGTGGGAAAACGTGGAAGTAGCTTTTATCTTTTATCCAACGAAAAATCTAATACTAAACAGTCAGCACAGTCACATTTAAACATTGTCATTGTAACCCTGATCAAAACAAATTTCATCAAAACAAAATGAAACAAAACAAATTTCATCTTTATCCAAGACAGCTGTGGTGGTAATTTTTCCAAATCTTTGTTNAGAGGAGCCAACGGCATCTGAGCAACTGCTTCTGGATAGGCGACAAAAGCAAGGCCTGGCCCTAGAACATACAAGAAATAAATATTGAATATAGATCCTTTGCACGATGACGTCATTTACTACTACGACAATAATCCTTCAGGGTTTTGCTTTCTTGTACAAATTAGGGTTTCAGTTATTCAAACCTCGCCAGGATTACTAAGTGGAAATAAGAAAGAAAAAATGAAGGGGACTCTGGTGAAAGCAGTAAAATGACTAACCTGAGAACAGGCTCTATTTTCGTTTCGCTTTGTAAATAACATTCCGACGGGCAAGGCGAAGCGAAAAGAGAGTCTGATATAAACCTTCTACGAAACGTCTCCCGCCCACTTATTTGATTGATCAGCATTTGCTGAATCAGCCAACCAAAATTACTTACGTACGCTGCATGCTCTTTTGAGTATGCAAAGTACTTTTCGTACGTGGGAAAACGTGGAAGTAGCTTTTATCTTTTATCCAACGAAAAATCTAATACTAAACAGTCAGCACAGTCACATTTAAACATTGTCATTGTAACCCTGATCAAAACAAATTTCATCAAAACAAAATGAAACAAAACAAATTTCATCTTTATCCAAGACAGCTGTGGTGGTAATTTTTCCAAATCTTTGTTTATGGCGACGTCTATGTCTATGCTCAAACTTGGTAGGTATTGACCATGAAAAACCCCATCCAGTCACCTTAAAACATGGAACAAGATTACACTTTTTACAATTATGCCTGTGTACATCATGATGCTGGCATTTTTTTGAGCATTTTAGTGAGGCAAAAACATCAAGCATTATTCAAGCATTTTAGTAGCATTTTTCCGGAACATTATTTTCTATTCTCGCAAATATATAAATTGTAAGAGAAACGACGACTTAAACTCCAAATTCAAAAAAGTATTCAAATTTCACCTTAATATAGAAGTGCAGCTGACCATTTTTTGCTGTATTGAAACTATTTACCTGTATACATTTTTGTCATGCTAATTATACATTTTGTGTTAGCCCTAAACCCCATTAAAACGTTCAGAATTAATAAAAAAGCCAGTCTATGATAAGCATTATCGAGCATTAGTGACGTTTTTTTGCGCGGGGGCGGGGGGGGAAAATGGAGCACTAAGGTGGAGTATTTTAGTGGGGAAACTAAAGTATAATGTACAAAGACCTATTTACAGAGACCGTGGTGAATAGACCTATTCGGCTAACTCAGTGTTGTACCCAATTCAAATCTCCCAGCATTAAGGTGGCTCGACTGGATTTTTTTAGGGGGATACCTCCCCAGTTTGAGCATTAACTACGTCGGCATGAGTAAAGATATGGAAAAAAGGTTACCACAACTGTAATATATAAAGATAAAAATTTCTTATGATCTGGGTTTTATTGCAATCGGAGTTGCCATGGCAACGTAATGACGCCATTACGTTTTTCATTTATCTTTATGTTTCTCTGTACCAGGAGTTTTTTGAAGAAATCGCTTAAGAGAGTATGTACCTGCCATAATTGCCTCCATTATGGCAAAGTTTGAACAAATTCTATGAGAGCGTTTTCGAAATATTTTGAAATGCAGTTTTAAGAATCATAGAAACAGTGAAATAGCATGCTAGCTACACAATTCGCTAATATTTTAAGAAAATGATAAGCTTTAGGAACGCGGCTTCATCTCATAGTGGTTTGATTCCATTGAAAACTGCATACAAAAAAAGAGGGGAATTGCTCTGGGCGATCGCGAGTAAGAAGAATTTTATNATGCCTGTGTACATCATGCTGGCATTTTTTTGAGTATTTTAGTGAGGCAAAAACATCAAGCATTATTCAAGCATTTTAGTAGCATTTTTCCGGAACATTTTTTTTTTTTCTCACAAATATATAAATTGTAAGAGAAACGACGACTTAAACTCCAAATCCTAAAAAGTATTCAAATTTCACCTTAATATAGACGTGCAGATGACAATTTTTTGCTGTATTGAAACTATTTACCTCTATACATTTTTGTCATGCTAATTATACATTTTTTGTTAGCCCTAAACCCCATTAAAACGTTCAGAATTAATAAAAAAGCCAGTCTATGATAAGCATTATCGAGCATTAGTGACGTTTTTTTGGGCGGGGGCGGGGGGGAGGCACCAACCTTTCGCGTGGGAAA